GAGGAGATGAGTCACATAATGGACTCTGAATGTGGGAAGTAGATGATTGCATCCTCCTTTCATGGTTATTTTATTAAATTTTGAATGAGTCAGGGAGAGCACAAGGCAGATGTTCATCTAGGCTCCTTAAATCCTCACTCAGTCCAAACTTATCCTACTCATAGTGCTAAAATGAGGTCGAAACTTGTTCTGAATATTCTTACTCTAATCATCCTCCTCATTTTCCTGCTGTCAGGATTAACAGTCAGAGTTTCCCCCAACTGTAGCCAGGCCAAGTCACCTTGCACAACCTTTCATGGATGGGGACCCTAAACATCATCAGATCTTACCCCTTGCATACATGATAGAAAGTGACCTACACAGCTGGTCCAGAATCAATTAATCTCCTATCATTTATCAGCTCCAGAATAGCTTTCCTTGTGTAGACAGCCTGTTCTGGCATACACTATGTTTTTATTCAAGGATAATGCTTGCATTTCCAGAGCAAAATAGTTATTATGAATAGAGCCATTTTTATAGTGGAATAATGTACATGTGTAGTTAGGTCTTTATGGTCTTTAGAGAGGGCTGGTGATTTTTCTCTTATACAGACAAGCCATTGATTGCCTGTGTGTGAGTCATGGATCACATCATAGTACTTACTGGCACCACATTATTTGAAATTATTCCTCCTTTATAAAGCAGAGTGTTTGTATGATCTCACACTATAATTCTGATGATGTTGCAGGAAAGATGAATTTTAACATTTTCAGAGTTTTTCTGCAGGTGCAGGATTGGATTTCTTGTTGTTTTCAGAAAAAAAAGGATATTGAAAAGCTGCATATTTTGAATGTTTCCTGCTCCTTGTGCCTCCAACTTCAGAATTACTGAGGGCTTATGGAGGGCTTCGTTCCTATTAGGCAGCTAACTAAAGCAGAGGGAAGATAGAGATGTGATATTTGGCTAAATAACTCCAAGAGGAGTTATTTTCACTTTCAGTTACAAAATAATGAATTTAAAAAACTTCCCTCTTACTGCAGCTGAATATAGATGCATTAGTTTTTAATGCTGACTTGCCACTGCCACCACTACCTTCTAGTAGGATACTTGTTTCGCTTCTTCTTAGAATCTTATGAGACATGTAGCTTGGATGAAATCTTGAGTTATCTGAATGGCAGATTTTTACTGCAGTGTATGACCTCCAGCTCTGCCTTTGCATGTGCCTTAGTCTGGTGCTGCTCTTTGTGGCATCAGTCCAGGGTCAAATGAGATGAAAGCCAGGTCTGACCTGGTCAGTAAGGACCTGGAAGGTGCATCTTCCTGATGCATGGCATTGCATCGTTGGTTATGTGCATGGTAGCTTCCACTGTTTCTGTTTCTCAGAAACATCAGAAGGCAGATTCCTTTCTATTTGCAGTCTCAGAGCTTGCAGGATGAACTGGGCTGTGAGGCTATTGCCCAACTCTGAAGAGAGGAGTATTGACATAAAATGGGAGCAATGAGATTTTACAAGTCGACCTGTTGCTCTAGAGGTCTTGGTATTTGACTGCTCAAAATACAGGTTTTAAAAGGGGTAAAGCACCTTCTGAAAAACTGATACAAGGTAAAAATTACTTTAGAAATTCAAGCTAAACATCTCAAGCCATGTCCAACAATGTGCTGCCGCAGGTCTCGCCTTAATGCCCCCAGTGCCACAGTAGTCTGAGAAACAGAATGTGTTCAGCCTGTGAGATAACATCGGGCTCTGGGGATGCTCAATTGGCCTCTGTTTACTTCTCTTCAACTCTTGCTCTCTTTTGTTACGTCATTAGGACTAATCCACATTCTGATGTAATGTTCTGCCCAATTTTCATCTTGCTGGAGTCCCTATTAAAGGAGCAGGCGATTTATGAGTTGCTTTGTGGCACACGGGAATGCTGGGAACGTGTCCTGTTTCTGATTATTACTGTAAGGAGATTGATGCTGTGGTGCTGCCGTGCTGAATTAAAAAGGCGGGGTGCTGGGCTGCCATCGTGTGAAGTATTTCTTTTTCAATGTTCCTACAGCATCATAAAATGCTGCTAAATTCAGATATCATATTTTGTTGCAGTCTGGCTGTAGGACAAAGCCCAGCCCTGTCTACTGGTGTTTATGACTTCCCATATAAGTTTTTGGACAAAATTTGGGTCTCATTTTGTTTGAGTTACAGCAGGTTGATGTTCTACTCCTCGCACCAGTTCTGAGAAGAAGCACTGAATGTTGCCACTTTTATGAAACACAGGAAAAAGAAAAACATGCCTTTTAAACTTCCTGTAAATCACTGCTTGAGAGAGAGAAAATATCTGCATAAAAAATGAAGGGGGGAGAATGTCCTATAAGGTAAACACAGGTGCATTTAAGCCTTGCCTCGGTTTTGGTTCCTCTTTAGGCTCAGGAATTATGTCAATATTAAATCTCCCCTGCAATCTGGTGTGTCTTGGGAGAAGCTGAATTTCAGCTCTTCTTCCAGAAATTAGAAGGTACTATTGCTGCTGTATGTCCTTTGTTTACCTGTACGGCTGCACAATGGTTATGATAAATGCAATTTCTAAAAAGTGTTGACTTCAAGCGTAGCTCAGTTTATCTACAATTAATTGGGGAAGGTGCTTGCCTGCATTTGGCTTTTCATTGAAGAAACAAAACCCATCCTCCCCCGGCTGCCTCGGCTTTCGCAGGAGCTGAATTCACTTTCAGTGACTGAGTTGTACAATGGCACAATGGCATGGCAAGCCGTGCCACATCAAGGTGCTCTATAAATAGCAGAGCGGTAATGGAGCTGCTAAAACTTCCCTTGATAACTTTGGTTCTAGAATTGGCATTGATTTTCTCCCTCTCCCTTCTCCTTCTGCTATGAGCAGGATGAGGTTTGACTTGCAGCGTGTTTCCTGAGCACTGTGTTATTTGGTGGTGGAATAAAAGTGCTGGGGCTCCCACAGAGCAGCACAAGAGACAGTAGTGGGGTACTGCCTGACCCCTGCTAAATGGTGGTCTCCAGCCTCTGCTCTTTGCCTCTGTGTGATTCTGTGATTTTGTGACTTCCCATAGAGAACTGGGGTCTTCAGTTGCTGCAGGGGGTGTGCCAGCTGCCCATTGTTCCCATCGGAATGAAAAGAGATGTAGAAGGGTAGAGCTAAGGTTGATTTTCTCCACTAGAAAATGGGTTGTCTCCCATGTGAGCTGTGCTACCATAGCAAGGGAAGAGAAAACTTCTCATAATCTAGGTTTCTGCATGTCAGCTGGGTGCCCAGGTCCGTGGCTGTGTGCAGCCAGGGGAGGGTGTTGTCTCACTGGTGTGTTATGAGAGATGGGCTGAAATGTTTATGCATGGGCGTAAGAAACATGAGGACACCTCAGTGGGGGTGACTACATGGCAGCTGCCCTGCAATTGCTTTTCCTTATGGAGCTGAGAAAAAAGCCCAATCTGATCCCTATGTGGGGCAGCGAGAGAGGAGATTGTTGATACTGTTTCCTGCTGTGAATTTTTTATGGTTTTGTGTGTTTTTTGCATATTTACTTGTTCCCACAAAGAATATTCCAGTGGCTGCAGAAAAACCTTAACACAAATATGTACTAAGTGTTGTGGTGAAATGAGAATCATTTAAACAAGCGTGGATAATATCAAGCCATTGAAAATAAAAGAGCAGAATTTCAACTGAGAACAAGAGTGCAGCAAAGTCAAATGGATGAGATTTGCCCTAGAACCTGCCTTTGATAAGTATAGGCTTTAAAAATACACACCCTGAAAAAAATAGTTGAAATATTAGAGCTTTTATCTGTGCTAAAGGATGGCTGTAAGTATCTGAGTCATCTGCCTTGTAACAGGTGTAATTGTTTGTGCGGTTGTCACGTTGTGTATCTGCTCTTCCCAGTCCTGACAAACAGTCAAAATCACCGCTAAGCCTCAGTGAGAGACAACAAGAGCTTTGACCTTAGGATCTGTCATCATTGCTTTGTTATCTCTGCACCATTATGGAGCTGTTTCATTTTAATTCATTTGGTTTCTGTTTATTTCTTCTGTGGCAGTCCCAGGAGCTGGCATTCACTGGCTTTTTGTTGGAGCATATGAATTTTTAGTTTGAAAGACCCACTGTTTATTTCTCTAAGAATCACAGCCCAGGTTGAGTATTTCTCACTATTAATTAGAGGTCAGCCCAAACCAAAGACATCTGTTTGATCCCTCTCTCCCTCTGGAATCTTTTCTTGCCTGGGAAAAATTGCTCAGTACTGACTGGAGGATTGGCCATTGTGTTGCAGAGAAACTTTTGTGGTTTCCAAATGTGTTTCATTTTCCTCTGGAATTAAACCAAAAAATTGTTCTAAGCATCTGTGAACCTTCTGCTTGTAAAGGATTTCTGTCCTCCTTTCAGGTTCAGTCTTGCCTATAAATCCATCCCACTGAGACCTCTATGGAACCCTGTACTTCTCTCATGTGAAAAGTTTAGGTTTCAAGAACACAAAGCTTTTATCCATTTGCTGCTGACTTCCAAATTACTGATCTGTCAATAGCAGACTGGGAGTGATGCAGATTTGCAGCCCCCATTGCATTGTGTGTTAGTGATATTAGACTGAACATAGCCTTCTGGTTTACTGCCCACTAATATTCAATATGACAGTTTCTTTCATATATGATGATGATGAAAAAGTTGTAAGTTTAATCTGGCAATAAAAGAAGAAAAACCAAGCAGTAAAAAGTTTTGGAATTTAGATTTGGATCTAGCCAATCAATCTCCTCCTTGTGTTATTCAGTACTTGATTAATGGCTTTCAAGTAGATTCTAGATTGGGGAAGGTGGGAAGGGAGCTGTACAGCTGATGCAATGGGATGTTTTCAGTGAATGGGCTTTGAGCCAACTGTGTGATTCCATGCTGCCTCTGTCAGATTGTTTTGTAATTGTTGCTAACACTATTGATCTCTGGTAATACATTGCTTTTGAGTAAAACAGAGGGACATGGTAAGCAACCACTAGAGTTGTCTTTCTGTTTCCTTTTATCTTTGGCCTGCAGTGGTGGAGAGCCGAGGAGGGATCATGGACAGCATACAGAGATTTTCAAACCTGCCAACATATCTCCCAGCGAGCTATCATATCTGCAATGCTGATGTGTTCTTCTTCCTCAAAGAAGCCAACCAGGATATCATGAGGAACTCCAGTTTGCAGTCTAGGGTGGATTCATTCTTTATATACAAAGCCAAACTGCCACCTGTCCTCAATGCCACGTATGGACCCTTTTCTGTTGAACAGGCTGTTCCCTTGGACCTCATGCTGACTTCTGCATCTTTTGGTTTCACAAATAAATTCACTTTTAATTGGAAATTAAAATCTCACATAATTGACAGCTCAATCTATTCCAACAAACCTAAAATACAAACTTTGTTCTATATTGTGGGGAAGGACTGGGATGACTATAATTCTGCTGAGATGTTGCCTTGTGTGAAGATGTTTGCTTTCCTGGAGTCTAGAGAAGTTGTGGCCAGCTGCAGATTGACAGGTCATCTAGGATTGTGTGTTGCAGAGCTGGAATTATCTCCTAGCTGGTTCAGCTCCCCTCCACCCCTGGTTTCAGAGGAAACAGCCTCCCTGGAAGGGATTACTGTGGAGCTCTTCTATAAGATTTATGCAGCAGATGGGGAATGTTCTCCAGAGGATGCAAAATGGGAAAACAATATCCATGCAGGTGAAGATAATGAACCCAAGGCTTTGTCAGCTACAGAGAGGATTGGTAGCATCATTATTTACCCAAATCAAGACCAATTAAGACAGTCTTCACTGAGGCTAGATGAAAATGTCGTTATTCGCTTACCACTCAACCCAGTCAGAGAAGGTGACGTTGTGACCTTTCATATTTCCTTGGCTGATGACTCTCTAGCAGACCAGTTTGTATTAAGGTAAGAGACTTTTTAAAGTACTGTATGATATATAGCCTACAAAGAGGGATAAATTGATGTCAGGTGTAATTTCTTTGGTTACATTCAGTGTTTTCCTGAGAGAACGTAAGCATTTCCTCTGCAACTGGGGAAAACTATAAATAGTCATGAATTATCTGTCTGGATGACACTTTTTGGAACACGAGAATTGATTTGTAAGTATAAGCTATAAATGTTTGTATTATCATTTTTTATTTTAATTCTATTTGATTCTAGTCATAATTCTGCCACTTAAATTATGCCTCTGTAAGTCAGCTAGAGTAACTGCTGTGATCCATTTTGCTAGACAGTTTGCAGGGAGGTTTTGAGTTTCTTTGGTGAAGGTTCCTTTCTTTTTATCAACATTCTTACTATCTTTCCAAAATACCTTGGATACATTTTGCACAGGTTATATGTGGTGAGGAACTCATTTGTTGCAGTGTACAGAGGGGAGCTGAGAGGTGAGAAAATGATAGTTGCCTCAGCTTGTGTAGAAAGACTTTGGCAGAGCCAGGATTTGGATCCAAACTTTGCAAGTTGTTTTCAGTTTATCTGTAAGACAGTCCACCGTGCTTCTTCAAGCTTTTGACTGCTTGTTGTGTGGCCCATTTCTGTGTTAGGTTTCAAGACTTTCTGGTGACCTTTACTTGTGAATCTGCCTGTAATAGGAGAATTCAAGCATTTCTAACTACCCTGAGGGTTAGTGCTGAATATTTGTTATGTCCTTAGCTGTCAGACTGTGGGTTCAGAGCTGCATAGAGGCCAAATGAAATGTAAGCCAGACTGGGGGAATAAAAGGGCCAAAAGGTAATTGGAAAGTGTCATATGCTCTGAGATTTGAGATGCTTGGGAAGGGAGTTGCAGCCCATGCTAGCAAACCTCAAAACTTCTGACTTTTTTTGATCTGAGAAGGATAGGAGTAGAACATGACAGAATTGCACTTGGGGGACAGATGTTGAGAAAACAGACAGCAAACCTGATGCAGCACTTTCAAATCATTCAACTTTTGTGAAATGGCACCTAAATTTGCAGATTATGGGATTATGGTGGGTTTGCTGGTTTTTCTTTGTTAAATATGGTTTTGGCCAGCAGCCACTGTCAGTAGATGGACCAACCTCATGCAGCTGTCAGGTTTCAGCAGTTGTTTATTGATCCTCAGGGTTATAGCAGAGAGATTATGGAATTTGCCTAAGACTCTGCAAGGATTTATTGTCAGCTCTTAATTCTCAGTTTTTTTGTTCTCTTTGCCATGCCATGAATAAAATTTCCTAGGTATTAGAAGCAACCCAAAATGAGGATGTTTTCTTTCCATTAGAATTTTTAAAACAGCATTTATATTGTAACAAACAGTGTAAGGGTAGAGTCCTGATATTTCTGCTGGCCAGCAAAGTACCAAAAACTTCTTGCAGATATAGTTTTGAGATACTGTCTTTCAAAAGCAAAATAATTTCTGGAAGCACTGAGAACAGTAACTAACCTGAAGTTTAAAGGAAGTAGAAACCAAGAGAGTTGAGAGCCTCCAACCTGGGAAGCCCGAGGGTGTTGCTCAAGAGCCTGTCTACCACCAAGATCCTTGGCTCCTCCCAGTGGCCCCCATGACTTGCATGTCTGCAGCCACAAGCAGGAGTCACTCTGTGCCACACTCCTGGCATGTGGAGGGTACATCTTGGTGCTCCTGGACTGCTGGGAAGGCAGTCAGGTTTCCATAGGGATATCCTTCTTTGAAAAGTGTGCAGTATTGGTTCTTCTCCAGGAGATGTTTCTGTTACAGTAAATCAGCATGTTTTATGTGGCCAGAAATATTTCCCTGGACAATTCACTGTTGGCTCTATGTAGTCTAGCCTGTCTGGTCTTTTCTTTGGCTTTACTTGTGTTGTGCTTTTCATCAGAGAAACTGCAACTATTTTTATTTAACCTTCTGTTGAATGCTGAAAGTAAGAGCAAAATGCAATTCTGCTGGTGGTTCACCCGTCCTCCAGGATGGAGAGAGCACCAGCAACTGTTGCTATGATTATTTTGAATGACATACGCGGGGCGCATGGAGAGATTATTCAGCTGAAGTTTACACAGTAGGCAGGGAATTATGCCGAGGGAAATACAATCACTACAGTGCCTGCATCTAATTTATGCAGTTTCCCTCACAGGCTTTCCCTGTTCTTCAGCTCAGCGCTGAAATGCTGTCAATGTTCAATGCTAATGTCCATAAAAACCCAGAAGATTTTTATATACATAGAATTTCTGTGTGTTATAGCTGGAGAAAAAGACATTGAAGTGAATGTTGGCCTTGGGAAATATACTTTTGCCTAATATAACTGATTGTTTTTAATCATATCTGTTAGAAGTGTAGTGGGGTGAATTGCAGTCTGGCTCATATGAGACAATAGATCAAAATCCTGTCATTTTCAACTCAGAGTTTGATGCCAACCTTGAGCTATGACAGTATGCAAAGGAACAGATATACTCAATTTTAGGCACTTCTTCACTATTTCATGCTATGTCATATAGTATTTTATGTTGGGTTTTGTTCTAGCAAAACTAACTTCTTTTAAGAGAGCAGATTCTTTCTTATTTTGGTAAAATGTGTGATTGTTAACCAAGCTTGGAAACTGAAAAGCAATAGGAAACAGCTTCTTGATTCAGCAATGTGCTGTGTTGAAAGATACCGCACATTACATGTGAAGCTCCAGCTATCACTTCCAGTCCCTTTCATCAATCCAAACTGGTTTTACTCTGATTAAGCTAAGTCCTGGTTGTTAGTTTTCATTGAATAACTAGGATTTAAGAATGAGTTGGAGCTGTAGTTGTGCAGTGGTCCAGGGAATTAGTTTCTTTTCATGCTGCCATCCAGACAGTGTGGCCTGCTGTAATTGAAGGACCCAGGTATGTCAAGGGGCAGAATTTGGAGGCTAAGCATGTATTTAATGCTTTTGCTGTGCCCAACAGTCATATTGCTCACTTTGTTGACAGATGATCTATATGTGTGTGCAATGAATTTCTTATGACACTGGAGATGGATTTGTGGCCTTGCTGGTCTGATCTGTCTACTGTAAAATTTACCATCTCTGAACATAATTTTTGCCTATTAGGGGGGTTGTCACTAAGCATAGTTTAACCATAAGAAGATGAAATGGGCTGTGTTGTCATGATTAAACTTTTTTATGCATTACCTAGTTTAAAAAAAAAGAAAAAATGAAGCACAGTTTTGAGAATTCACCAGTGTCACAAATTTTCAGGAACTTTGCTGTTTGATGCACAGAAGTATCTCTGCTACCTGCTTTACTGACAAACATAGTAAGTGAGGGAAGATGGAAATAATGACTAAAGAAGGGATAACAACAACTTTTGTGCTATTTACTAAACAGAAGATGATTCCTGACATACATGTAAGAGTTGTAAAAAGAAGAGAGGAGAAAACAATCCTTGTTTAACTGGAAGGATGGAAACCTCATCCAATTGCACTGGGAACAGCCTGCATTTATTTTGGGACATACATTATTATTTAACTTAATCCTGAGACTTGAAGGATGTATTTAAAAGAAAAATGGGAGTAATTTTTGTACAGCAGGAAAATGTTTAATGGAATAAATGGATGATTCCCCTTTGGTTATAGGGAAGAAACCAGGACACTCTTTATAAATAAATGGCAGAGTTCTGTCCTGTTTTTCAAATCTCCCCATTTAGACCATCAATGGGGATGTGCTGGTAATGAAGGCTGAGAACTAACAGCAATTTGTCAAGTCACAGACAAAACCTGGGTTTGTTGGCATTCGTTACACGTCCCTAACACAAATGACCCATCCTTCTTTTATCCCCGATCAGAATAGAAACAGAGATTGGAGGTAGTCCAGGAATATAATAGTAAGGGGCTGAAACCAGGTAACGAATCCCATCCTAGAGAAATGACAGCAGCTGTGGTCAGGATGTGGCCCTCTGTCTGGAGGGGAATGGTGGGACTGTGCAGAGAAACCTCACTGCCAGTCGGTGCCTAGGCAACCCCAGGGAAAAGGATTTTCTGCTTCTCCCTGCCAAGCTCCACATATTGCAGGGCAAAGATTACTATTTGATTTTTTTGGATGAACCAGTACAAGGTGTAATACATGAGGGTTGAGTTTACTGATTATTCTCACTAGGAAAAACTATATTAAGGCTTTATATTAATAAACATATATCCATATGGAGGAGGTTATGTCTCATGCTAAGCAATAAAAATTGCACAGGCCATTAAAACTGACTTACAAGGCTTCTGTGTTAATAATGAAAGATCTGTAGAAGTCTGAGCAGTCGTCTAGAAGGCCAGAAAAAGATCATTAAGAGGATGTCTCCTGCCAAGAGCAAACAAGGGAAAGAAAACAGAAGGTTCTATATCTGGAAATGCATAGAAAATGAGAGCATACAGACTATGGGGAGCGCAGCCTAGCTGCAGGTGAGGAGGATGCTCCACAGGGCCTTCATCACTTGTAACTGAGCTGATATGAATGGGGTAGCAGGGCAGGATTATTACTGGTGAGAGGAATAAATGATAAGCTTCTTTTTAGGATGAAAATTCAGCAGAAGTGAAAATGTTGAGAAAGGGAAAAATATAATTCTGAAATGAATCAGAAATGCTGGTTCAGGTTTAGAAATAATTACAGTATTAAAGCATTACTGGTGACTTGGGAATATTTGTATTTTACCTACAGATTTTAATGAACCCACAATGAATGCTTAAATTCCTTCTTTCTTTTCTCTGAATGTACACTGAAGTAGATGTAAAATATGAAAAAGTGATATGCAATGTTAATGAATATTAAGCACTGTAAAGTGTGGGAATCTCAGAGATGCCTGTGCAACCTAAATTCAGTCCCCAGGTAAATACACATTACAACACGTTCCTCAGAGATAAATTCACATTATTTTTTTTTCCCAGATCTCCTGCTTCATTCAATGTGTACATGGTCTTGCTCTCACTGTTATCTTTTTGTCACTGAATGGGAAAAAGAGTA